ATTTGGGAGTTACATAAGAATGACTAATGACCTAAATACCCTTATCATTAATATGTAAGTTACATTTTAACCAAACCCAAAGATGCAACATTATTGGTTGATGTVDRTTAVCMDARTTTGCACAAAATATTGGGTTAGTATTTGAACCACCCTCTATATAATTAATGGTATAATATGTATTTGGTCTTATTTTTATAAGAATAAAATATATAAAGTACTAACAGAATGTATTATTCAGTTTAATCAAATTAGAAAAAAATTAACCGAAAACCAAATCAAATAAAAATCCTTATTTAATCAACCAAACCGTTGAACCCGAAGAACGAATAATTCGAAACCTCTTTAACCTAAATCTGATTATGTTGGTCTGGGTTATTCAATTTCGGTTAGTTTTTTACACCCTAAATTTGGGAAATTCATAAACAAATAGATACATAACAAATATATGAACCAACAAAAATCAGTTTGGTTTGGTGGTTTGTCACAAATACATACATTATATACATATATATATAAGGTTTACACACACACACACACACACTATATATATATATATATATATATATATATATATATATAAGGTTTACTTTGCAAATCGCGTTATTTGTACAAACCATGCAAATCACGTTATTTGTACAAACCATACAAATCTTATTCAATCAATCATAATTTTTCATTTTTTTTTTGTAATTATGATAGGTTGATTAAATTATTTTTATTGTGTAGGGTGTTAATCACTGGTATTATCATCTTTATTATTTTAATTTTAGAAAAATACATGAAATAGTTCCATTAAAATTTCATTAAGTATTATATAAAAAAAAATTATAACCATATATGAAACAATTTCATCAAAAAAAAAATTATACGAAACAATTTCACAAGATTAAACAATTTCATAAAATAAATTTCATAAGATTAAACAATGAAATCGACGGATGACGTTGGTTTACACGGTTTGTATAAATTTGGTCGTTTGCATTTGATCGTTCATCTCTCTCTCTCTCTCTCTGTATATATATATATATATATATATATATATATAGGGGTCCATTCAAGGGAGAACTGAGTTGTTTGTGGTAACTGTGAGGTCCAATCTTAACCACAAATCAATGGATAAATAAGAAAATTAGTAATTATGGTAATTTGAGTTAAAATTATAATTAGAGGGCATTTTAGGTATTTTTAAAAAACTCCTCTCTCCGACCTCCGATCTCCGGCCTCCGGTGAACATTAATCCGGCATGTACCAATGTATTACCAATTGGGGTACCACCATGTACTACAGAATTTTCACCCGTCTAATATGAATTAAATAGAAAATACTAATATAATAGAAAAGAATCATCTGTAACATCTACCCATACCGCGTTTGCAATCAGCGAATTCATTCAATCCATCTTCTCCGGCCACCCTGTGATACCCATTACTTAATGTATTACCAATTGGGGTACCACCATGTACCATAAAATTTCACCCGTCTTCTCCTTTCTCAATCCATCTTCTCCGACCACCCTGTTTTACTCATTACCCAATGTATTACCAATTGGGGTACCACCATGTACCACAGAATTTTCACCCGTCTCCTCATTTCTCAATCCATCTTCTCCGGCCACCCCTTCATTGTTGCAGCCACCATCTCCTTATCTCCCTTCTCCCTTTCACCTTCCGCAACACACGCACGCACCCCTGCACCATCATACGAACTAACACAAACACATGGACGAGTAAATAGGCAAAGCACACCCGAACCTTCCCCTTCGCACCGCCTCTGTCGTGTCTCGTCTCCGTCGTCTGCCTCGTGAACCAATCCAGCAAGTCCCAGTCAATGCTTTGAAGCCATCAAAGAAACAGTCAAAGCAAAACCAGTGCCGATTTTCTAAGACAAAAAAACAATCAACTACCCATGGCAACACCTAATCAAAGCATAACTAGAAAGGGTTGTTGATTTCATGGGGCCAAATGAAAGAAGAGAGATAAGGTTTTCTAATAAAGGAGAAGATGAGATGGTTGTGGAAGGGGAAACTGTCGATGAAGAAGTAGATGGGGTTGATGGGGTGGCTGGAGAAGAAGTAGACGAAGGAGAAGAAGTAGACGAAGGACAAGAGTACCTAGAGCATCTAGGGTTTTATGATTATAACATTACCAATTTACCCTTTATGTTATTTTAGAATATAACATTAATTATTTAAATGATTGGCTCATATTGGACCTCACAGTTATCACAAACAACTCAGTTCTCATTTGATTAAGCTCATATATATATATATATATTATGGGCCCATTCAATGGATAACTGACTAGTTTGTGATAACCGTGAGATCCAATCTCAACCACAAATCAATAGATAAATTAGAAAATTTATAATTTTGGTATTTTTAATTAAAATTTTAATGCAATGACATTTTAGGTATTTTCTCTCCTCTCTTCTCTCTCCGGCCACCGTCCTCCGGTGATATCATAGTGTGATACTCAAACACATATAAGATGCATTGTGATACCACTGTGTTACATATCCGATCGACCACACAAACGACCTCAGTGTGATACCCAATCACATATAAGATGCATTGTGATACCACTGTGTTACATATCCGATCGACCACACAAACGACCTCAGTGTGATACCCAATCACATATAAGATGCATT